GGATACAGAATTCTGTTTATAATTTTGAGCACCTGAAAAATGTTGTGCCACTTACCTCTGTTCTCCATGGTTTTTAATGAGAAATTCGATGTCATTCTAATTGTTTTTCCCATATAGGCAAGGTATCATTTCTCTCATTGCTTTCTAGATTTTTTATTTTTCTTTAACTTTCAGGAGTTGATTACTACTCTGTGTTTTGGCATGGGTTTTCTTTGGGTTTATCTCGTTTGGGACTTTCTCAGCTGTTTGAATCTATAGGTTTATACCTTTTGCCAATTTTTCAGCCATTATTAGTTGGGATATTCTTTTTTTTTTCAGTCCCATAGTCTTCTTATTCTTCTCCTTCTGGGACTCTTATTATGTGAATGTTAGATCTTTTGGTATTAGTCTCACAGGTTCCATAGGCTCTGTTCATAATTCTTCAGTCTATTTTTGCTCTTGCTTAGAATGGGTAATTTCTACAGTTTTATCTCCACGTTCACTCTGTCATCTCTATTCTGCTACTGAGTCTATCTAGTGAGTTTTAGACTTTAGTTATTGTAGCTTTCAGTTCTAAATCTTTCATTTGGTTCTTTATAGCTTCAATTTCTTTTCTTTTTTAAAGTTTATTTATTTTCAGAGAGAGAGAAAAAGTTTATTTTCAGAGAGAGAGGGGGAGAGAGAGAGAGACAGAGAGAGAGAGAGACAGAGAGCGAGAGAGAGAGAAAGTGGGGAGAGGCAGAGAGAGAGAGGGAGAGAGAGAATCCCAAACAGGTTTTGTGCTGCCAGTATTGAGCCTAACGTGGGGCTTGATCCCACAAACTCTGAGCCCTGAAATCAAGAGTTGGACACTTAACTAACTGAGTCACCCAGGTGCTCCTATATCTTCAATTTCCTTGCTGAAGATTTCTATTTCTTTGCTGAGACTTCTCACTTCCAAATTTCAAGTGTGGTCATAATTTCTTATTAAAATATTTTTATGATGACTGTCTTAAAATCTTTGTTACAACTCCAACATCTTTGTTATCTTGGTATTGGTGTCTGCCGATCAATTTTTCTCATTGAAGTTCTCATTTTCCTGGATATTGGTATAAGTGACTTCTGTTGTATTCTGGAAATATAGGGTATCATCTTATGAGACTTTGGATCTTACTGAATCTTCTGATTCAGCAGGCCTCTTCTGATACAGTGTGGCAGGGAAGGGAGGACTGCCTTGTTACTGCTAGTGGGTATGGAAGGAAGTTCCTTTATTTCTGGGCAAGGACAAAAGTCTAAGCTCCCCACAGGTGCTTCTCAGACACTACCCCTAAGGAAAAAGAAAGGTGCTTCTTCACAGCTATGTGAAGGTAGAAGTCTAAGGTCCCCACTCAGCTTTTGCTTATAGGACTGGGAACGGAGCTGCAGTTTTTCTGTGGTGTTTGGCCAGAGTAGAACAGTTACTGTCTGGAAGTTTTCCATCTGGCTAGGCTGCCCCTCTCCTGTTACTCTGGCTAGAAGGAAAAGTTTTTTCTTGGACTTTTTAAATCTGTACCCATTTGTGTTTATGGGATAAAAACTTCTCCAGCATCCAGTTGAGAATAGGTGAGACAGAAGGAAAACCCAGTATATTCACTGCTGTGTCATTTCTCAGGTGCAAAGTCCATAGCCTGTCTCCCTTCTTTTTTCTGACTTTCAGAATTTTCTTAAGTTTGTTTTATAGATAATGTCCAGTCTTTTAAACTGTACTTAGCAGGAGGAATAGGGAGAAGTGCATCTACTCCATTTAGTCTGGAAACTGGAACTCTTTTTTTTCCCCCAAAATGAAAGTATTTAAGGATATGAAAATTTCCAAATAGGACTCTGGCCACATCTCTTACATTTTGATAAGTAGTAGAATCACCTTTTTTTTTTTTTTTACAACACTATCTAATTTCAGATTTGATGTCCTGTTTAAGAATTATTTATAAAATTTAACTCCGTCATGGTCATATTTTTTATTACATGTGTGTTATTAGTTTTATGTCATATTCTGGCAATATCATCTGTATGACTTCTACTTTCTAAAAGATAAACATTCTTTGTGTATTCTATTTGGGTATAGTTTTATATGTACCCATAAATACAAAAATCAGGTTTGTTAATCCTTCTATATCTTTAATTACTTTTTTATAATTGATCTGTGACATTCTGATAGAGGTGTGCTATAGTGCCCCACTATGATTATACAATGGTTTTATCATATTGCCCTAAGTTTTCCTAAATATCTGCTTTATACATTTCACTGATACTATTCTGTAGATAAAAGTTTATAACTGTTATATCATCTTGTTATACTGTAACCCTCTTTTTAAGTACAGTTGACACACAATGTTACATTAGTAGCATGTGTACAACTTACTGATTTGACAAGATTATACATTATACTATGTTCACCACAAGTGTAGCTATCATCTGTCCCATTATATCCCTATTACAATGTCACTGACTGTATTCCTTATGCTGTGCCTTTTAGTCACTCCTTCACTGGAAGCCCGCATCTCCCCCTCCCCTTCACCCATTTTATCTAATCCCCCAAGCTCCTCCCCTCCAGCAACCATCAATTTGTTCTCTGTATTTATAGATCTGATTCTGCTTTTTGTCTGTGTAACTCTTACCGATCTAAAATATCCTTCCTGTCCTTTTTACTGACTTTTACCTTGAATTATATTTACTATTTTTGATATTAATGTTGCCACCATTGATTTCTTTTTGTTAGATTTTACATGATTTATCTTTATATACTCCTTTATTTTCCATTTTTTCTATATAACCTTATTTTAGGGATATCTTCTGTGAATAGCATCTAGCCGGAATTTGCTCTTTTATGTATTCTGGAAATCTTTATCTTTAAAATGATAATTTAACTAATTCATATTTTAATGTGATCACTAGTACATTCATTATCATTTCACCAGCACACAGTTTCACTGACAAAAACACACAGCTGTTGGTAATGTAGGCTTTGGGGACTGACAGACCTTGTTAGAGGCCTGATCCTGTCACAAGCATTGTGACTATGGAAAATGAGTCACCTTCCTCATCTATAAAATTGAGCTATTAATATTACCTATCTGAATAGGGTTGTTGTAAAGATTTCAAAATAATTCATTGAAAGCACTTAGTTCTGGGCCTAGCACAGAGAAAATGTTCAATAAATATTGCAGTTATTACTGCTATTGTTACTGCTATTTTTGTTCTGTGACCAAGTAATAAGTATCAAAACTTTGTGATATAAACCTAGAACTTTAATGTTATTCTTCTCCCCAAGCTATGGCTGTGTATCTCACCCCAACTATTGGATATTTCAATTTCAGAATCTCTTTGTCACCATAAATTCAACATGTCCCTTTACAACTGGCATCTTCCTATGGAATTTCTCTGCTTCTATCAATGGTAGCATTATTTACTTAGTCTGTAAATCTTGGCATCACCTTGATTCGTATCTCATACCTAGTTAGTCAACATCTGACTTACAGGTGTTTAAAATGACTCTTGCCTTCTTCTCTCCCACTCTATTGTTATTACCATCAATCCAATGTATCTTCTCATCATCTCATACCTGGATTAGTTTCTTTGATATCAAGTTCTCCCTGCTACAATGTATACTGTCATCAAATCCATATTCTGTAAACATCACTTTCATCGTGTCACTTCTTGCTCAAAAACTTTTGATAATTTTAGACTTCTGAGAAACTCCGGTTAAATATCGCTGCTTATTTTCAGTGTCTTCATAATCTGGCCCCACCTTACTTATCCAATTTTGTTGATAATTATACTCTAACATGCAAAGCCACTCTCTGCAGGTTGGCCTCTCTACTGTCCACTCACTAGTCAAGCTCATCCCTATCTCTGGGTCTCATTCATGGTATTTTCCACTTACCTAAAGTGCCTTTCCTTCTTCTCTCCTCCTATATGAATTCTACCCATCTCAAAAAGTCTTGATAAGTCCCACCTCAGTCAAGAGATTCTCTTTAACAACTTGAATGCCTTCACTTTAAAATACAAATCCAATGCTTTGGTACTTCTTTATATACTGTCTTTGATTATTTCTATTCTTTTTGTGAATCAGCTTTGCCTCTCCAATTAGACTTTATACTTTCTGAAGGCAAGTCTGGGAACAGTGTTTATAATCAGGAACTTGTTGTCTTAAATAAAGAAAGGCAAAAAGAAGAAAGACTACCCTACTTCCTCAATTCTTATGCTTTTGAAGCACTTTAGATATGTGATCAAAATCCCTAGCAGCCGGTCTGGACACTGAATGATTTATGACAAAGGATTCTTCTCTAATGAAAAGGAATTCTATTTCCTTTGGCAGTATAAACAGGCTTTTGGAAGCAATAGCAGAGACACAAAAAGGAAGCAGTGCTTCAGTATTGGCTTTAGTCCTCCAGGAACTGAGAGAATAATAAAGCCTTTCACCTAGTTTCAAATAAGAAATGTTAGGAAGCCCAGCCAGTAAAGGAAAGATAAACTGAAAGCCTTTTCACTTCTCCTTGTTAGATTTTACTGATTCAGTTAGGCAAGCCTTGGAAGGATAAGTGTGGGAACTTATCTATAAAATCTTGATGCTCCACTGGGGTAAGACAGATGCAGAATGTATTATTACTGTCTTCAAAATGAATTATATTAAAAAAGTTTCTGCAAATGGACCTAAAAACTAATTAGCCCCATAGTAGCCCACAAGTTATTCTATTACATTTTTTGAATTATAGCCCTCAAACCATTTGAAATATTCTTGAGCACTGGTTCATTTGTTACATATTTACATATTTATTCTAAAACATAAGCTCCATTCGAGTAGAATTCTATCTCCTCATCTGCCTTATTTGCCTGATGCAGCGCAAGTGTGTAGATAAATGTCTGGCACAAAAATAGGAGCTAAGAAATAACTGCTGAAAGAATAAATGATAATGAGCAGCTTTCCAGCGACTCTAAGACTTTGAAGGGCTAACCACATGATTCAGTCCCTAAACACATTAGTTCTGTGCCTCATATAACCTTACCAAGCATGGTGTGTGAGATGGGGAAGGTGATGGTGGGCTGGCCTGTCATCCTCCAGCGGCTACAGAGGTAGGAGAGGTCTGTTCTAAGCATCTCTACTATCATCTTGTTGTCCAGAGCCAGGTAGAACTGTTGCTGGTCTATAAACTGAGAAAAAGAAGGAGAAAAATAACAGCTTGGAATAACTTACTCTTATAACTGTCAAATAATATTTTAAAGTACTCACATATTCACAAGGGTATATAACACACCACAGAGGCAACTTTAGTGCCTCTTTTTTTTTTAAAAAAAAATTTAATGTTTTATTTATTTCTGAGAGAGAGAGAGACAGCATTAGCAGGGAAGGGTCAGAGAGAGAGGGAGATACAGAATCTGAAGCAGGCTCCAGGCTCTGAGCTGGCTGTCAGCACAGAGCCTGACGTGGGGCTTGAACTCACGAACCATGAGACCATGACCTGAGCCAAAGTCGGATGCTTAACCGACTGAGCCACCCAGGCACCCCATTTAGTGCCTAACTCTTTCCAGAGAATCTGATAGTCCATTGGTACATATAATTTTTGAAATTTTTACAGTATACTCTAGTTTACGAAGTGTTTTCAAGTATATAATTTTATTTATTTATATACCAAATGAGTGAGGGCTTTTCTTCTTTTAGTAGATATAAATAAGGCAGAGACACTAAGTGGATTAACAAAGTCATATGGCTAGCAAATGGCAAGGTCAGAAATAGAATCTATGGTCCATTATTCTTTTGTCTATACCTCAGCTGCACAATTTCAGATGTAAGGCAACAAATGGGGAGCTTAGGCTTTCTTTCTAGAAAATATTTTCTCCTCCTATACACATGTATAATTGGGCTTACTACTATAATGTGACAAATATCAGGCTAACAATGTGTATAATCACGGATGAAACAGTACTGAAATTTTTGTTTAAAAGAGAACATCAACATAAAAAGGGCCCATGCCAAAAACAAAGAGAACACAATTTAGTAACTGAATAAAAGTCGTCCTTTGTGTATAAAGGATAAATAGAATCTTATTTTTTAACATTTAAAAGGAGTTCTTTTTAAATGTACTCTAACATTTATAAAATCTCTAGTCACTGTTTCTGCAACACACAGGACTACTCTTGGTAGCCACAATCACTTGGCATAGCTCTGTGCCACAAGCTCAGTTTAGTCCAACTCAAAAAATATTTATTGAGCAACTTCATATGTGCAAGGCGCCATGAACTCTGACACCTGTCCTAACTCTAGTAAATGCTTTATTTCTGTATTTTTGTCTTACTTCCATTCATCTCAGTGCATCTAAATCTTATTCCACTTACCTGTGGAGTGAAGGTAAAGATAGTTTTCCGAATGTCATAGAGTTTTGAAGTTCCAAGGACTCCCATGTGCCTATAGGGTCGTCCACTAAGTTTCATTCTACTGTTGCATCCTAAGACAGAATTAAAAAATGCTCAAGATCTTTCTAGGGCACAAATCCAATCAGTAAACATTTTTTATATTAGATTTACACTTCCTAATACAACAAACGAAATTCTGTGTCTCAAAGTTACTATCTGTGTCATGTACAAGGCCATACTTAAGTACTGTAGTGCTCTCCAAGAAATAGAGTATGCATTTATCTCTGTTCTTAAAGAAGTCACATAATCTACATATGAGAGAAAAGAATGCACATGAAAATTGATAGTTCTACAAATGATAGAATTCTATTACTGACATTTATATGCTGAATTTCCTTAAATCTCATGAAAACTGCAAAAGCTATATGGACTACAAACTTATCAATGTAAACTATGCTTCAATAAAGCTGAACAAAACCTCATCAGCTTAAAGATGGCATACTAAACTGAAAAACTGAAATGAATTTACTTGGACTCCTTCATTTGCATAGTAGTGACAAATTTTAATTCAATAGAACAACACATTTTATCCAAATAAGTCAAAATATTATTATATCTGATAGGAAATTTTGTGAGACCTTATACATACAGTAAAATTCAGTTGGCAGAGAAGTATTTTTGAAAACTTAGGAAAGGGGAAGACTTGAACTATCAGAGAGCTACAAAAAGTGTAATTTTATTTACTTTTTATTTTTAAAATGTTTATTTATTTTTGAGAGAGAGAGAATCCCAAGCAGGCTCCACTGCTGACAGCATGGAGCCTGATGTGAGGCTCAAACTCAAGAATTCACAAACTGTGAGATCATGACCTGAGCTGAAGTCGGCCACTCAACCGACTGAGCCACCCAGGCACCGCAAGGTGTAGTTTTAGTGAATATTTACATAAATATGCACATCTTTCTACAAATATGTATATGTATGTATGTATGTATGTATACGCACATCTGCTTTATTCCCTGAGTAAGTCTTCTTTTTTATAGGTTAGCATTTTGAAAATAGAATCTGATCATTGATATCTATGTTACATGTAGTTGAATTTTTTTGTCTCTGAAAAGACATCTATTACATTAATACCTCCTACAGTGAGGAAACAGTTCACATATTCACACTTTCCCCCCTTTTATAACATAGGATATATTGTATAACATAGGATAGCACTATACACAAAGAGCTTCTTCTCATCCTCTTTTTCTCCAAAGTGAATATTGAGTATCATTTCATGTCAGTACTACTTTTTTATTTTTCGGAACTCATTTTTCTTGGGGATTTTATTTTTGACTCTGCTTTAACCTAAGTATGAAACTTATCAAATATGCCACCTTTTTAGTGTTGCTTCACTTTTAGGGACAGAACCAGAGAGCTGTCAATGCCTTGGTCATATTCCAGGATTTAACTGACATTGATATCACAACCAGGTTTATCTACTGTTCCTTCCATTTTGTTTCTTTTATTTTATTGTAGTAAAATATACATAACCTAAAATTTACCATTTTTAATTTAACCATTTTTAATTGTTCAGTGGCATTAAGCACATTCACAATTTTGTGCAACTATCACCACCACACATCTCCAGAACCTTACCATCTTCCCAAACCAAAACTGTACTCATTAAACAATAACTCCCCATGTTCTCCTCTTGTCAGTCCCTGGAAATCAACATTATTTCTGTGTCTGTAAATTTTCTTACTCTTGGTACCTCATATATGTGGAATCATACAATATTTGTCCTTTTGTGACTGGTTTATTCCACTTGGAATAATGTCTTCAAGGTTTATCCATTTTGTACTCTGTGTCAGAATTTATTCTTTATCAAAGCTGAAAAAATTTCCTTTGTATGTACACATCACATTAAGTTTACCTTTTCATCAATCAATGGACATTAGAGTATTTTCTTTGGTAATTTCTTATAGTATAATATACATGAAGTATGCTAATCTTAAATGTAAAAATTGGTAAGTTTTTACAAAGTAAACACACAACCCAAATCAAGATATGGAACATTATCAGCACTGCAGATGCCCCCCGTGTGCCCCTTCCCAGTTATTAATATCCCCCAGCTCCCAAAGTTAACCACCATTCAAACTTCAATCACCATAAATAAGTAGTCCATTTTTGTTTTATATTAATAAAATAATACAATATGTACTTTTTTGCATCTAGTTTCTTTCACTTAACAATATGTCTATGAGATTCATCGATAAGGTGTAGGTAGAATTAGTTCATTTGTTTTCATTGCTGTATAATATTCCAGTGTATGGATGTATCACTTATCCATTCACTTGTTGATGGACATTCGAGATTTCCTGCCTCTTGTCCAGATTTTGGTTATTATAAATAAAGCTCCTATGAACATTCTTGTTGTGCTTGAGGTCCAATAGACTATCTCCAGGTTTGGTGATTCACTAGCATTCCCAAAACTCACTATGTAGCTGTATAAATGGCTCAGGTTTATGAAATCAAAATGATACAAAGCAAAAACAGCAAAGGAAAAAGGCACATGGTGCAAAGTCCAGAGGAAACCAGGCACAAGCATCTAAGATTCCTCTCCCAGTGCAGTCACATAGCACATACATAATTCCTCCAGCATCAAAATATGACAATACGGGTGAAATGTTGTCTACCAAGGATGTTCATTAGACTCAATGTTTTTATTAGTGGCTGGTCACATAGGCATCCTCTGCACAGTACATACCCAAACTGCAGGCTCTCAGAAGGAAAGCAGGTATTCAAGCATAAGCCATACTATTTGTACAGTTTAGACACACAGCAAACCACGGTTATCCTTTTTTTTCTCATATGATTCTTTTTTCTTATATAACCTTTAAAGTCTTTATTTACCTTGTTAGTAAATTTTTTTTTACAAATAGTTTATTGTCAAGTACGTTTCCATATAACACCCAGTGCTCATCCCCACACGTGCCCTCATCCATGCACATCTCCCCCCTCCCCCCCACACCCATCAGTTCTCAGTTTGTTCTCAGTATTCAAGAGTCTCTCATGGTTTGCCTCTCTCCCTTTCCCCCACTATTTCCCCCCTTCTTCTCCCCCTTGGTCCTCCGTTAAGTTCCTCCTAATCCTCCTATACGTGCAAACATAGGTATTTGTCCTTCTCTGCTTGACTTATTTCGCTCAGCATAACACCCTCAAGGTCCATCCATGTTGCTACACATGGCCAGATTTCATTTTTTCTCATTGCCATGTAGTATTCCATGGTATAGATAAACCACATCTTCTTGATCCATTCGTCCGTTGATGGACATTTAGGCTCTTTCCATGTTTTGGCTATTGTGGAGAGTGCTGCTATGAACACTGGGGTACATGTGCTCCTAGGCATCAGCACTCCTGTATCCCTTGGGTAAATTCCTAGCAGTGCTACCTATGGGTCATAGGGGAATTTGGAGAAGTGTCTGTTCATGTCTTCTGCCCATTTTTTCGCTGGGTTGTTTGTTTTTCGGGTGTGGAATTTGGTGAGTTCCTTATAGATTTTGGATATTAACCCTTTATCTGCTATGTCATTTGCAACTATCTTTTCCCATTCTGTCGGTTGCCTATTAGTTTTATGGATTGTTTCCTTTGCTGTGCAGAAGCTTTTAATCTTGATGAGGTCCCAACAGTTTATTTTTGCTCTTGATTCTTTTGCCTTTGGGGATGTGTCAAGTAAGAAATTGCTGCGGTGGAGGTCAAGGAGGTTGTTTCCTGCTTTCTCCTCTAGGGTTTTGATGGTTTCCTGTCTCACATTCAGGTCCTTTATCCATTTTGAGTTTATGTTTGTGTATGGTGTGAGAAAATGATCTAGTTTCATTCTTCTGCATGTTGCTATCCAGTTCTCCCAGCGCCAAACCACTGTTATCCTTAAGAGGATGGTGGAACCCTCTCAAAATCCAGGTCTTCAGATGCCATGTAAGGGTCAAACATACAATCAATTCTTTCTAGGAATGCATTCTAAGGCCTGTCACGTGAACTTTTTCTGCACAATCCATCCCATTGGCTCTTGGCCAAGGTGTCTTTGTCAGTAGGTCCCCGTGCAGCAAATGAAGCCCAACCTGTAGTGTAATCCTCAGTTATGCCCACAGGGGTTTTAGATTTAGCCAGACAGAACTAACAATTACTATAATTATGTCTCTTCAACAGCCAGGTAGGTTCCTCCTTAAGTTTCTGTATTAACCTTTTTTCTTTCTGGCTTGAGGGATCAGTCCAAGCACAACCCAAGCCTGGCCTGTATATTGAAGCTGACCTTAATGCCTTCCAAGGCTGAGGCAGTGCCAGGATAGTCAGGGCTCACACACAAGTACAATTCCAGAGGGCGTACACAGTACTCTTGGACAAAAAGAGTTTACAAATGCTAGGGCATCACATACATTAATCAGGCAGTTTAGGTGAACATGATCTCCAATGTGGTCTCCCACTGCAGGCCTCCTATCCTAGGGTTTCTAGTCCAGTACAAAAAAGTTCATTCTTTGATTTCAGTGGGAGTATCTCCTGAAGGGAGTTGGATCCAAACAGTTTTGTTTGTTCATGACATCAGCTAATCTACTTTGTGAATGTGCAGGATATTGGGAGGTGTTCTGAGTAGAAGGTGTGGGAGCTGTGGCCACATCCGGCTATCTCCTAGTCATTTTGGTCAGAAGTGACCTTAGACTCAGCAGTCAGTTTGAATTCAAAGCACTGTTGGCAGCAGGGAAGACAATATGTGCTTTTATTAGGAAGGAGAGGAATACTTCCAGGAATAGTCCTAAAAATCAATGATTAATGCCCTTGTCCTTTACCCATGCCTCTTCAGGTGTCAGGATTTTGTTTTTTCTCCACTGTTACAAAACCTGTATGTCTCATTTAGCAACCAGAGTTTTATAATCTTATCCTCCTTCCATCCCAATATTTTGTCTGGAAGAGTTTTATGCAGGAAGTTTAAGAGCCTTTTTGTAGGCAAACATTATTATACAGCTTAACCAGAAAGACATATCACGTCCAGGATTTGGTCAAGATGAAATTCTGAATTTTCAAATATTTAAAAATGGATTTTTGTGCCTCTCAC